CCGGTGTGACGGCGCGTTGGGGTCCCCCGCCTCCTGCACCCTCGAAATGGCACGAACAGACTCCACCAGCAAGTAGAATAGAGGTCCGGGGGTGCAGGAGGCACGGGACCCCAACGCGTCGTCACACCTGACTTTATTACTTCCAAAACCCAATGGTCCGAGGTGATGTCGCGCCACTGGCTTGAGGCGGTGGTGAAAGAGAAGGGTGGTGGTGGGTTTTTCTACTGTGAGCACTGAAGATGTGTTTGTGTCCTCGACACATGAGTCAAATTTGCTGTTTAGCATTAGCCCTGACTGGTTCACGATTGGACTGCTGGCGCTTGCGCTGCGGATGCTGATGGAATCGAGACTGCTCGGGAGCACGCTGCTGATGTTTCTGGAATGGATAGTCATATCTTCTTTGAAATGGATAGTAACGCCTACTCTTAAAGGGGGGGGGGTATACATCCCCAGAGTCCGCAGAGTGGTGCGTGAGTCCTTACCCAAATGCAGGACATCATCAGTTGAAGTAGCAAATAATCTTTTACGATCAAATGGGAGATCTTCGACTTTGTTCTGGAGCTCCTTTGGTGCTCCTGCTGCCATTATCCAAGAGGCTTTGCGCATTGCGAAACCTTTTGCCATGGCTTGAGCTGCCGTATCCGCGACATCGAGGGCAATTTGGAGCGATGTCCTACATGCAGAATATTCCTCCTGGACAATCACCTTCAGCAAAAGTCTCTTAGTATCTGGAAGGTGCTGCATTAGGTCAGGTAACTTGGCATAATTGTCGAAATTGTGATTCGAGAGAAGGGCAGCATAATTTGTGATCCTACGCATTAGGGTCGATGATGAATAAATCTTGTGTCCAAAGAAGTCAAGCTTTCTTGTGTCCTTATCCGGGAGTGCGGTTTTTAAGTGAGAAGCCTTGCTCTTATGGTGGACTGCATCCACTATTAAGGAGTTGGGTTGAGGATGATTGAAAAGAAAATCCATGTCTTTAGATGAGACAAAATATCTCTTATCTGCTCTTCTGCTAGTAGGGAAGATCGTTGTGGGAGTCTGCCAGATCTCGTGTGCCACATCCAAAATGGCCTCATCAATTGGGAGTGCAATCTTGCGTCATTGCTGGGGATGCAGATTTTTCAATAGCTTATGCTGCTTCACCTGTGCTTCAGACAGCTGAACCTCCTGGCTTTGTGTCACCCGCTTAAAAAGGTCCTGGAATTCCTTAAGGTCATCAGGCAGTGAGGTATCACCTGGGGTCACGGCATCATTTGGTGCCTGAGATGAAGAGCACACATTCGCAGGCATGTCTGTTTCCGCATCCGAAATCTGCCCCTCCTCAGGGTCCAAATGATTCTGCTGCAGATCTGGACTTCTTGGAGGGGGTGGAGCATGAGACGGTGATCGCGGCTTCGACCGATCATGATGAGAAGACGGACTAACCGAGCGACAGGAGCACGGAGATCTCAGATGGGAGCGGGAGTGGCTGTGATGAGTTGAGACATAATAATAGGGTCCGTCATAATGTCCATAGTGATGATCCCAATACCGTGGGGATGAGTGTCGTGAAGAGGTGACACTAGCATGCCTGACGTAATATGCACGGTGTGGTGAATGCACCAGAGAGCGAGAACATCGCGAAGGAGAGCGCGAACGAGAACGCCTTAGTGATAATAGGATGACAAACTCCTGCGGGCTCGAATGTTTTGATCCCTGGCAGAGTGAGGTACAGGAGAACGGTGCTGAAGGGATGGTCCGGGTGAAGCTGTAGGAGCAGGCAGAGGAGAAGATGCATGCCTGCAGGATTTTGAGCTTGCCTTCCTCGGTGCCGGGGGAGGCAGCTCTGAACGTACAGAGGTTGGTGCTGAAGGGACAGCGACCTGCGGAGCAAGGGGAGCTGTTAATTCAGGCTGGAGCTCTGCCGGTGCGGAGGCTGAGGCTGGGGACAG